GCCAACATAGTTCCGTGTCCCTATTCCACACCAGGCTTATACATTTCCCACAACCATCTGAGTGACCAAGACCCTCGGCCTCCACTGGGCAGATCCCAGCAGAAGTCAGATAATTCACCATGGCCTCAGAGTTAGAAGTTAGCAGAGACCACCTTGCTCCACAGCCCATCTGCTACAGGGAGAAGTGGGGGACGGAACAGAAAGGTCTTCATTTAATATTTACTGTTGGTCATCGAGTGCCAGGCCCAGAACTGAGCACTTTATATGCCTCCTCTCATCAAGCTCCATAGCTATTAAAAATCTTTCACAGAAACTGACTTAATTGTCTCAGAAAGATGAAGTGACCCACACAAAGATTCCCAGCAATGGGAGAGCCTCAGGAAAACCCCATAAGGGTGTGGGGGATATATAAACTGGTCCCTAAAGATCTGTTCAGCAAAGGGAATAGTGTTGGCCCAGATTAGGGGTAGTTCCCTGCCAGGTTCCCAGGATCCCCTTCACTGAGCCCTTCATGGCTGGATAGGACAACCCTATCTTCCCTCACCAGGGGTAGGTTGCCCTGAGCTTGAGAGCTAAGAGGTCCTTCCAAGTGTCTGTGGCTCTGCCCCCAATAATGTTCCACCCTGGAGGTGGAGAAACTCTGGGATGGCACAGCTGGACCTAGGCATCTGAAGGCCACCACAGACTGAGGGCTGCTGGAATAGCTCTACAGGATCTGATTAGAAAGGTCTGTTTCTCATAGAAGGAGGTTCAAGCCCAGGGTTGAGAGGCTTGGGGACAGGTGGATAAGGAAGAAAATCAAGCAGAGCTAACCTCCCTAACAAAGAACAAACCGTCCTTAGTCTGCTCCTGACAATGCCACGCTAAACTCTCTATGAAGTTACTCATTTATGCTTCCGGTGACCCTAAGGAGTAGGTTCTCTTACCACACCCATTTGGCAGATGAGAAAACTGAGGCCACAGACGGTAAGCAAGACCTCTTAGCCAGGAAGTGCTATCATCTCATCTTGCCCAAGTCTTCAAAATTCTTCTCCCAAGACTGGAGGAACTCCAGGGCAGTGCAGGAGATGCAGCTGACAGGGAGCATTTCACACCAGTAACAATAACACTGCTGATGATAATGACAAAATCAACAACCCCCCCCCCCCGCATGTAATTGAACCCTTCTCTGTGCCAGGCAGCAGGTGCCTTTCACACACGGTTCATTAAAACTTTTCTGCAAACCTGTTATTACTCCGTTTTATACAGAAGAAACCGAGGTGGACAGGGTTACTTGCCCATACCTCAGCTTGGAAAGAGGCAGAGGGGGAATGAAAGTTCCGCCTCCAGGACGTTCCTCTGCCACCACTGAGCCCTGAAGGTCCTCAGACCCGAGTTGCTGATACTTCAGGCCGGCCCCTTCCCAGCTGGCTGCTTGTGTGCCCCACAGGGACTCACACAAGTTGTAGGAATGTTCACCCTTTGGCTCAGAAGAATTTTCCCTCCCTGAGGGGGGCTATGGGAAAAGGCTCAGAAAAAGTGCCGAAAAAACTCTTCCAACTTCCCTGATGGGCCTCAGTTGGTCTCTCATCCCCCGAGTCCAGTCTGCCCAGGTGGCCTCTGTCTGCTCTTTCCCCATTATGTCCCCAGGCCCTGCAGGTTCCTAGGAAACTGTGAAGCTATTTCTATTCTGGCCACCAGGTCAGTGATGGGAAATCCAAACACAACTTGCACCCATATCCCCAGAGACACACATGCCCACTTCCCTGGCAAGGGCCCCAAGGCCAACTGTAAATGAAAGGCTGGTTGGCCCAGTTGCCCCAGCAAAGCCTGGCAGCTGCTGGGTATCTATGGATGCATTTGTCTGGCAAGGGTCTGTGGTTCAGATCTCAGTCCTCCTGTCACCAAACCTGGACTTTGGCCCTGCAGATGTTGCCGTGTCAGGCCCTCTGCTCCAAAGCCCCCGCCTGCCCCCACCAGCCACCCAAGATTTCACTTCCTCCCATCAGCCCAGCCTAGCCATGCCCCTCCCTGGAGTCCCCCAGCTGCAAGCAATGACCTCCTCACCTACATCATTGTGGCCCGGGAATGGGGAAGAGAAACAAGAGAATGAGGAAATTAGGAAGGAAAAAAAAAAAAAAAGAAGTGGAACAGGCAGGCAGACCCCCTCCCCAGTTCCTTAAATGCAGTCTCCCTCCAAGAAAAAGCTTTCTGGCCAGGGGAAAGGAAGGAGGGGTTTTCTGCACCAGGGACTTTCAAAGTCCCCTGAAATACCCTTGGGCAACGCTGACCTATAAGCCCAACATCCTCTGAGTTTTGGTGGGGGGATTCCCAGTTTAGAGAATCCCATGCTCTGGGATCCCCAAACCCACTGAACCCTTAGTTTAGTGGTGCGTGGGAGCCTGGCCAAACCCACCTGGGCAGTGCTAGGAGTGACAGGGGTCTCCTGAACTGGACTGCTGCCTTCTTAGTGCATGGTCTGAGGTCAAAATGGGGAGGGGCTCGCCCATCCTCACTGTCTCGTTGGACCCACTTTCACTTCACAGTTGGCGCAGCGACCGCGCAACCCTCTCCTCAGGCACCAGCTGGGGCCGATCCCCCGACCAGCTTTGGGGAGGCCGGAGGCGTCGGCTGCGCGCTCTCGGCGCCCTCAGCGCCCAGCTGCCGCTCCGAGCCCAGCACGTGTGTGGG